CTCTCTCCACCTCCCCTCTCTCTCCCCCTCCCCCTCCTGTACTCTCTGTGTCTCCTGCAGGTGGAGTCAGTCAGCTGATCTCCAGCTGACAGCAGCCTTGTTACCATGGAAACAGCAGACTAATCCCAGCTGGGTGCGTGTGTGTGTGCGTGTGTGTGCGTGTGTGTGCGTGCGTGTCACCGTCACTCTGGCGGTGGGCGAGTCCACGGCGGAGCTACTGGGCATGCTCTGTCGGCGAACCCCTCTCTCTGGAACATCTGGAACAGACAGAGAGCATCATGGGAAGGTTTAGTAGGTTTTTCTTTTAAAGCAGCAGTCGGCCATGTTGGCTCCACAGCTGTTGCCATGGTAACTGGTGGGGTCAGCGTTGCCACGGGGACCAGCAACAGTTGAAACGTGTGAACACACTCAGACGGTGAAAGTTGATGTTCTGAGATTAGAGATTTTCTCCCTCTGTAAAAACTTCTGCAGACATTCACACCACGATGCTCCAGGAGGACATTATAACAACTGGTCTAAAGGGGCGGAGCCTAAGCTTTACTCGTTACTGGTTACTAGTTGCTCCGTGTATCATCAGACACGGACGTTTCTGAATCGATTAACTGATGTCAAACATCCGATATATAAATGTTCATTTATAACGTAATGTTCACGGAACGCAGACAACAGAGACCGGTGATCTGTTACTGGTCTCAGACCAGCGTTCCCAGTACTCGACGCTCATTAGCTGCGTGTCATTACTACCTTGTTGTCCGGGGCCGTTAACGTCAGGTCCAGGCTACACTGGTGTCCCGGACATCCTGAGAGCTAAAGTATATTTCAGTCTGACACCTGGCTGGTGAAGGAAGGAGGCTGGTGAGCAGGAGCAGCTGAGGCTGCTAAAGGAAGTTAGGGATGTCAAATTGAAAGAAAACTGAGAAACAAGAAATTAAACTGAACTGATCTGCAGTCAGTTACTACACAACATGCTGTGTGTTAGTGTGTGTGTTAGTGTTAGTGTATGTGTTAGTGTGTGTGTTAGTGTGTGTGTGTTAGTGTTAGTGTGTGTGTATTAGTGTTAGTGTGTGTGTATTAGTGTTAGTGTGTGTGTATTAGTGTTAGTGTGTGTATTAGTGTTAGTGTGTGTTAGTGTTAGTGTATGTGTTAGTGTGTGTGTGTTAGTGTTAGTGTGTGTGTATTAGTGTTAGTGTGTGTGTATTAGTGTTAGTGTATGTGTTAGTGTGTGTGTATTAGTGTTAGTGTATGTTTAGTGTGTGTGTATTAGTGTTAGTGTATGTGTTAGTGTGTGTATTAGTGTTAGTGTGTGTGTATTAGTGTTAGTGTGTGTGTTAGTGTGTGTGTATTAGTGTTAGTGTGTGTGTATTAGTGTTAGTGTGTGTGTATTAGTGTTAGTGTGTGTATTAGTGTTAGTGTGTGTGTTAGTGTTAGTGTATGTGTTAGTGTGTGTGTGTTAGTGTTAGTGTGTGTATTAGTGTTAGTGTGTATTGGTGTGTGTGTTAGTGTTAGTGTGTGTGTATTAGTGTTAGTGTGTGTATTAGTGTTAGTGTGTATTGGTGTGTGTGTTAGTGTTAGTGTGTGTGTATTAGTGTTAGTGTGTGTGTGTTAGTGTTAGTGTGTGTGTATTAGTGTTAGTGTGTGTGTATTAGTGTTAGTGTGTGTGTTAGTGTTAGTGTGTATTGGTGTGTGTGTTAGTGTAAGTGTGTATTGGTGTGTGTGTGTTAGTGTTAGTGTGTGTGTTAGTGTGTATTTGTGTGTGTGTTAGTGTTAGTGTGTGTATTAGTGTTAGTGTGTGTGTGTTAGTGTTAGTGTGTGTGTGTTAGTGTTAGTGTGTGTGTAGTAGTGTTAGTGTGTGTGTTAGTGTTAGTGTGTATTGGTGTGTGTGTGTTAGTGTTAGTGTGTATTGGTGTGTGTGTTAGTGTTAGTGTGTGTGTGTAGTGTTAGTGTGTGTGTTAGTGTTAGTGTGTGTGTGTTAGTGTTAGTGTGTGTGTGTTAGTGTTAGTGTGTGTGTGTTAGTGTTAGTGTGTGTGTATTAGTGTTAGTGTGTGTGTATTAGTGTTAGTGTGTGTGTGTTAGTGTTAGTGTGTGTGTGTTAGTGTTAGTGTGTGTGTGTTAGTGTTAGTGTGTATTGGTGTGTGTGTGCTGCATGTTGAGTCTGCTCACACTAACACAGTTTCTAAGCTGTAAACATGCCTCCTGATTGGACGTCTGAAGCGTCTCTCTGATGTCTGCAGGGTTTCTTTTCATATTCTACATATGAGTTGTTGTTATGACAGCTGTGTGTCGATTCAGCAGCCTTGTAATAAAGCGGAGAGACGACTGGAAGGTTTGGACAAAAAACAATAAACTTCAAACTGAAATAATTCATAACTCATTATTACTGAATTTAATGACTGTGACCGAGTTTACTTTGAGCTTATATATGATCTGAAATACAGCTCGTAGTTAAATAGCAAATGAAAATGCCTTTAGAACGGTTTGTACATTAAGAAAACATGCAATACAATTAAAATATAGAAGAAACAAAGGTGCATTGTCCAAAAAAAGGAACTTAAGTACAAAAAAAACAATCTACTGATTATGAAATGACCCCAAAACGTGCAGCACCAATCAGTAACTTTAACAACTTCTGGACGCAGTTTTCAGTTCTCTCTCTTTGAACATGACAAACAGGAGGGAAGACTAAATAATTTTATTCATTTCATTTATTTATTCATTTAGCTGACACTTTTATCCAAAGCGACTTACAATTGCTATACATGTCAGAGGTCGCACGCCTCTGGAGCAACGAGGGGTTAAGTGTCTTGCTCAGGGAGGATATTTTTAAAACACTGTTGAAGGATCTTTCGTCTCGTTCTTGTGAACCTAATATCGCATTTCTTGTGAGCTAAGTGTCAAATCTGAGCTCTTATTGTGACGGGTTAGGCTGAGTGAAGACTGAGGTGTGGACCCAAATGCAGACCAAAAGGCCAGGAGGATGCAGTTCAGAAAATATTTATTAACACAAGAACTTAACTGAAACAGGTTTCCACGGGAGCTCAATGCTAGAGTCCAAACAAAGGTAACTCCACAGAAACACAATCAAAGGAAAGGAAATCCAAAAAGCAAGGAACAAAGTACTTTCCATAGGTAAGATCCAAAAACAGAGCACAGGAGAACACTTGACACAAGGACATGACAAAGACTGAAGACACAAGCAGGCATATATATACACAGGGACTAACGAGCGGGGCGGGAGCAACACAGGTGAGGGGGATCAGGACTAATGAGACACAGGCAGAGAGAGAGACAGCAGGGGAAACAGACAGTCACCAATAAAGCCATAGGGAAACTAATAACCAGGAAGAAACAGAATATAAATAACTGAACCAGAACATAAGCAGACAGATCACTAATATACCAAAAAACTAAGAGGGAAAACAGACTAAACTAAACAGAACACAGAGCAAACATGGACAAAATAATACAGAAGTACACAGACCAGGAGTAGACACTAAGGCACGAATAAAATGAATAATAATAAAAATGCTGGACATAACTAGAATACGAGACAAGACAGATGCTAAGAAAACTTAAACATGCGAATGAACAAAGGACTAAATCAAATAAAGCAATAGAAAGACAGAATCCAAAACCAAACCCATGAAAACAGATACCAAGTAAACTAGGACATGTGAAAGAATAAACTTAACAGAGAAACACAACCAAAAACAGACTAAAACAGGAAAGACATGAACACAAAACCACACTCCTAACACTTGTCCCCACCTCTTTTCAACACAAAGTGACGCTCTTGGTTAAAATAGAATATTATTTGGACCTGATGTTTCAAATCACTTTAAGGTGTATTTTATATGCTGTGTTTAATTCAAATTCAAAAGTCTTTATTGTCTGTCACATAATGATAGAAACTTGTTACAATCACGACGGCGGCTAACCATCGTGATGTCACCCACCAGCGACCCAACCCTAGTCAGTTTGTCCTAAAGGTCCTGGTTTGTTCTGGTTTAATGCGTGGTGACCAGAGGAGCTCCGAGTGATGAACGAGTCTGCCTTTCTGGTCTGAGACTTGGATCTGAGTTCTGCCGGGTCTGGTTTGATGGTTCCTGCTTTTCTCTGTGAGGACGTTGAACCAGGATGCAGCGTAAAGGGTCGGACAGCCTCTCAGGAGGAACAGGAGCTGCTGGCCTTTGGTAGACCTCATGTTGGGTGGCGGAAAGCTGGTGGTCGAACTCAGCGCCCAGGTATTTAAAGCTCTCCACCTGCTCCACCACACCAGCATGAAGGCTCAGAGAGAGGGCGGGGGGATCTGGGGCCCCACAGCTCTTTTGTCTTACTGATGTTCAGTTGCAGGGAGCGCTCCTGGAACCAGACGACCATGAGGTCCACAGACCGCTTCCATGTGGCGAGGGAGCACTCGTCTGTCGAAAGGGACACCAGGGCAATGTCATCAGCATATTTAAGGAGTGTGTTGCTGTTGCAGGTGATGCTGTTGGTGTCCATGGAGAGGAGGACGGTGATGTCATTGTTGCTGGCTTTAGGACCCTCTGACCCCTTTGAGGTCTCAAATCCATAGGACCAGCGCTGTGTTGGAGGCGGTGCAGACGTGTGTTACAGAAGAAAAGTCAATGAATAAAATTCTGACATACGTGTGGTGGCGTCTACCATTTGTATTCTGATAAACAGTGAAGCCAGTACCTCCAGCCACATCGCTGTTTCCAAGATGAGTTTAAGCTTTGTGTGCCGTGGAGACCAGCGGCAGGAGGACGAGGAAGATCGCTGGTGTTCAACGAGAACTGGTGACTCAGTCGCCCCTCTGCTAGGGGACTACTATTTATATAGTCTTTATTCAAGAGCGTAGTCTTTCCACCTGCAAGCGTGACTGTTACATGTTTAGATACGTCCTGTTGCTGCCTCCAGCTTCAGCCCTTCTCCTGGCGCTCAGCATCGGGAAGGAGGACATTACCCGGCCGCCAGAAGCCCAGACAACAACCCTTCACCATGGCGTTTCCAACAAGTACACGTGCTAACGTTAGCCAGCACTGCGCAGACCTGTGGGAACCCCGCTGCCTGTTCTGCTGACCGTCTTGTATCCAGCACTGTGGGTTTTTGGCAGGAAGTCGTCAGTTGCAGTAAAACAACCCAATACGTTGTGAAGTTTGAGTGTATCCCAACAGGAAGGACAGCAGCTCAAACACGCTGCGCGACGTCCACACCTTGTTCCTAACTGTGGCATAATGAGCAGGGCTCAAGAGTGCGACCAACACATGGCGAGTGAGACTATGTTTTCTTCGTCTCCTGCAGAACATTTCACAGGACAGTTTTCTGTCAGCAGCATCTCTATCTGTGTGTTTTCCCCAAAACTCACTGGAGGAAGAAGGTGAGAGCCAATCAGAGGTAGAGAAGGGGCCCTGGATTTATATGGATAGACTAGAGCACCAGTTCTGAAGGAATGACTCTGCTTCTGTCTGGAGAGCCTTCAGACAGATCACCAGCTACAAACCTGCAACTCATGCCTTGCCAACGAGTTGAACCAGTTTTACTGTCGCTTTGAAAGACAATGGGACAGACCTGACACCATCCCCCGTCACACCACTGATTGGCCACAGTCCACCATCTTACCCCCCCCCTCTTACCATCCTGGACAGACTGTTCAGGAGGCAGAAACCTCGCAAAGCAGCTGGGCCGGACTCTATCTCTCCATCCACCCTGAAGCACTGTGCTGATCAGCTGTCTCTGGTGTGTCATGTCATGTGCCAGCCTGCTTCAAAGCCTCCACCTTCATCCCTGTCCCCAAGAAACCAAGGACCACAGGACTAAACGACTTCAGAACCGTCGCCCTGACCTCTGTGGTTATGAAGTCCTTTGAACGCCTTGTGTTGTCCCACCTAAACCCACAGACCCACTCCTGGACCCCCTGCAGTTCGCCTACAAAACCAACGGACGATGCAGTTAACATGGCCCTTCACTACATCCTCCAGCACCTGGACTCCCCAGGAACCTACACCAGGATCCTGTTTGTGGATTTCAGCTCTGCTTTTAACACAAGCTCTCCCAGCTGAGCGTGCCTGACTCCACCCACAGGTGGATCACAGACTTCCTGACGAACAGGAAGAAGCATGTTAAGCTGGGACACCATGTCTCTGCCTCCAGGACCATCAGCACCGGATCCCCTCAAGGCTGCGTTCTCTCCCCCCTTCTCTTCTCCCTGTACACCAACAGCTGCACCTCCAGTCACCAGTCTGTCAAGCTCCTGAAGTTTGCGGATGACACCACCCTCATTGGGCTCATCTCTGGTGGGGATGAGTCCGCCTACAGGTGGGAGATCGACCATCTGGTGACCTGGTGCAGCTAGAACAGTCTGGAAAGATTGCAGCTGAGCCTCCCACCCCGGACACAAACTGCTTCAGACTCTCCCCTCTGGCAGGAGGCTGCAGTCCATCAGGACCAAAACCTCTCGCCACAACAGTTTCTTTCTGATGGCAGTGGGCTTCCTCATCAAGACCCGGGTCCCCACTGTCAATGACTGTCACGCCCCCCTCTCCAAACACACACACACTCCCGACCCCACACTTTACAACAACGCTCAACTGTGCTTTATGCTTTTCCATTTCTGTAGTTTTACACTGAGCGACCTCAGATATCAGATTATCAGATTATTATTGAGACATGGAGATTAGGCAGAGCAGCTGATCCTGCTGCACTCAGTGCACACACACACTAACACACACAAACACACACACACACTAACACACACACACACACACACACACACACACACACACACACACTAACACACACACACACACACACACCACACACACACACACACACACACTAACACACACACACTAACACACACACACACTAACACACACACACACACACACACTAACACTCTAACACACACACACACACTAACACACAGACACACACACTAACACTCTAACACACACACACTAACACACACACACACACACACACACACTAACACTCTAACACACACACACTAACACACACACACACACACACACACACACACACACACACACACTAACACTCTAACACACACACACACACACACACACACACACACACACTAACACACACTAACACACACACACACACACACACACACACACACACACACACACACTAACACACACACACACACTAACACTAACACTCTAACACACACACACACACACACACACACACACACACTCTAACACACACACACACACTAACACACACTAACACCCACACACACACACTCTAACACACACACACACACTAACACACACTAACACACACTAACACACACTAACACACACACACACACACTAACACACACTAACACACACACACACACACACTAACACACACCACACACACACACACACACACACTAACACACACTAACACACACTAACACACTAACACACACACACACACTAACACACACACACACACACACACACACACACACACACACACACTAACACACACACCCTTGTGAGGACCCTCCTTGACATGTGACCTAATCCTACTCTAACCTGTAAAACCAAGTCTTGGAGGACGTCCGGTCCTCACTTTGTTGGTTAAACCTGGTTCCCGTCCTCACTATGCAGGAAGTACAAACACAGAAAATATGTTTCTCTTCTTACCGTTCAGGTCTTCAAACTCAGCGTCTAACTCCATCATCTCTCTCTGTCTCTCTCTGTCTGTCTCTGTCCCTCTCATACAGCTGGTTAAACCCCGCCCCTCCTTACCTTTGTGGGCGGGACGAGGAGGTGCTGAGGTCGTGTGGAGGCTGTATCTTAGCAACCAGACAGTGCAACTCTCCGCCCTCTCGGCAAGGAGCAGAGGATGGACCTGAGGAGGAGGAGAGAGGAGGAGGAAGAGGAGGAAGAAGAGGAGGAGGATAGAGGAGGAGGAAGAAGAGGAGGAGGATAGAGGAGGAGTAGGAGAAAGGAGGAAGAAGAGGAGGAGGAGGATGGAGGAGGAGGAGGAGGATAGAAGAGGAGGAGGAAGAAGAGGAGGAGGATAGAAGAGGAGGAAGAGGAGGAGGATAGAAGAGGAGGAAGAGAGAGGAGGATAGAAGATGAGGAAGAGAGAGGAGGATAGAAGAGGAGGAGGTGGATAGAAGAGGAGGAGGAGGATAGAGGAGGAGGAAGAGAGAGGAGGATAGAGGAGGAGGAAGAGAGAGGAGGATAGAAGAGGAGGAGGAGGATAGAAGAGGAGGAAGAGAGAGGAGGATAGAGGAGGAGGAGGAGGAGGAGGATAGAAGAGGAGGAAGAGAGAGGAGGATAGAGGAGGAGGAAGAGAGAGGAGGATAGAAGAGGAGGAGGAGGATAGAAGAGGAGGAAGAGAGAGGAGGATAGAGGAGGAGGAGGAGGAGGAGGAGGATAGAAGAGGAGGAAGAGAGAGGAGGATAGAAGAGGAGGAGGTGGATAGAAGAGGAGGAGGAGGATAGAAGAGGAGGAAGAGAGAGGAGGATAGAAGATGAGGAGAGAGAGGAGGATAGAAGAGGAGGAGGTGGATAGAAGAGGAGGAGGATAGAAGAGGAGGAAGAGAGAGGAGGATAGAGGAGGAGGAAGAGAGAGGAGGATAGAAGAGGAGGAGGAGGATAGAAGAGGAGGAAGAGAGAGGAGGATAGAGGAGGAGGAGGAGGAGGAGGATAGAAGAGGAGGAAGAGAGAGGAGGATAGAGGAGGAGGAAGAGGAGGAGGATAGAGGAGGAGAAGAGAGGAGGATAGAGATAGAGAGAGGAGGAGGAGAGAGGAGGAGAGAGGAGGGATAGGGAGGAGGAGGAGGAGGAGGAGGATAGAAGAGGAGGAAGAGAGAGGAGGATAGAAGAGGAGGAGGTGGATAGAAGAGGAGGAGGAGGATAGAAGAGGAGGAAGAGAGAGGAGGATAGAGGAGGAGGAGGAGGAGGAGGATAGAAGAGGAGGAAGAGAGAGGAGGATAGAAGAGGAGGAAGAGAGAGGAGGATAGAGGAGGAGGAAGAGGAGGAGGATAGAAGATAGAAGAGGAGGAGGAGGATAGAAGAGGAGGAAGAGAGAGGAGGATAGGAGGAGGAGGAGGAGGAGGAGGAGGATAGAAGAGGAGGAGAGAGAGGAGGATAGAAGAGGAGGAGGTGGATAGAGAGGAGGAGGAGGAGAAGAGGAGGAAGAGAGAGGAGGATAGAAGAGGAGGAAGAGAGAGGAGGAAGAGAGAGGAGGATAGAAGAGGAGGAGGTGGATAGAAGAGGAGGAGGAGGATAGAAGAGGAGGAAGAGAGAGGAGGATAGAAGATGAGGAAGAGAGAGGAGGATAGAAGAGGAGGAGGTGGATAGAAGAGGAGGAGGAGGATAGAAGAGGAGGAAGAGAGAGGAGGATAGAAGATGAGGAAGAGAGAGGAGGATAGAAGATGAGGAAGAGAGAGGAGGATAGAAGAGGAGGAGGTGGATAGAAGAGGAGGAGGAGGATAGAAGAGGAGGAAGAGAGAGGAGGATAGAAGATGAGGAAGAGAGAGGAGGATAGAAGATGAGGAAGAGAGAGGAGGATAGAGAGAGGAGGAGGATAGAAGAGGAGGAAGAGAGAGGAGGATAGAAGAGGAGGAAGAGAGAGGAGGATAGAAGATGAGGAAGAGAGAGGAGGATAGAAGATGAGGAAGAGAGAGGAGGATAGAAGAGGAGGAGGTGGATAGAAGAGGAGGAGGAGGATAGAAGAGGAGGAAGAGAGAGGAGGATAGAAGATGAGGAAGAGAGAGGAGGATAGAAGAGGAGGAAGAGAGAGGAGGATAGAAGAGGAGGAGGAGGATAGAAGAGGAGGAGAGAGAGGAGGAAGAGAGAGGAGGAGGAGGATAGAAGAGGAGGAAGAGAGAGGAGGAGGAGGATAGAAGAGGAGGAGAGAGAGGATGGAGGAGGAGGAGGAGAGAGAGGAGGAAGAAGAGGAGGAGGATAGAGGAGGAGTAGTAGAAAGGAGGAAGAAGAGGAGGAGGATAGAAGAGGAGGAGGAGAGAGGAGGATAGAAGAGGAGGAGGTGGATAGAAGAGGAGGAGGAGGATAGAAGAGGAGGAAGAGAGAGGAGGATAGAAGATGAGGAAGAGAGAGGAGGATAGAAGAGGAGGAGGAGGATAGAAGAGGAGGAAGAGAGAGGAGGAAGAGAGAGGAGGAGGAGGAGGAGGAGGATAGAAGAGGAGGAAGAGAGAGGAGGATGGAGGAGGAGCAGAGAGGAGGAAGAAGAGGAGGAGGATAGAGGAGGAGTAGTAGAAAGGAGGAAGAAGAGGAGGAGGAGGAGGAAGAAGAGGAGGAGGATAGAGGAGGAGGTGGAGTAGAGAGGAGGAAGAAAAGGAGGAGGAGGAAGAAGAGGAGGAGGATAGAGGAGGAGGAGGATGGAGGAGGAGGAGTAGAGAGGAGGAAGAAGAGGAGGAGGATAGAGGAGGAGGAGGAAGAGGAAGAGGAGGAGGATAGAAGAGGAGGAGGAGGAGGAGGAGGAAGAAGAGGAGGAGGATAGAAGAGGAGGAGGATAGAGGAGGAGGAGGATGGAGGAGGAAGAAGATAGAAGAGGAGGAGGAGTAGGATAGAAGAGGAGGAGGAAGAAGAGGAGGAGGATAGAAGAGGAGGGGAGTAGAGAGGAGGAAGAAGAGGAGGAGGATAGAGGAGGAGGAGGATAGAGGAGGAGGTGGAGTAGAGAGGAGGAAGAAGAGGAGGAGGATAGAGGAGGATGGAGGAGGAGTAGAGAGGAGGAAGAAGAGGAGGAGGAGGGGAAGAAGAGGAGGAGGATAGAGGAGGATGGAGGAGGAGTAGAGAGGAGGAAGAAGAGGAGGAGGAAGAAGAGGAGGAGGATAGAGGAGGAGGAGGATGGAGGAGGAGGAGAGAGAGAGGAGGATAGAAGATGAGGAAGAGAGAGGAGGATAGAAGAGGAGGAGGAGGATAGAAGAGGAGGAAGAGAGAGGAGGATAGAAGATGAGGAAGAGAGAGGAGGATAGAAGAGGAGGAGGAGGATAGAAGAGGAGGAAGAGAGAGGAGGAAGAGAGAGGAGGAGGAGGAGGAGGAGGATAGAAGAGGAGGAAGAGAGAGGAGGATGGAGGAGGAGCAGAGAGGAGGAAGAAGAGGAGGAGGATAGAGGAGGAGTAGTAGAAAGGAGGAAGAAGAGGAGGAGGAGGAGGAGGAAGAAGAGGAGGAGGATAGAGGAGGAGGTGGAGTAGAGAGGAGGAAGAAAAGGAGGAGGAGGAAGAAGAGGAGGAGGATAGAGGAGGAGGAGGAGGAGGGGAGGAGTAGAGAGGAGGAAGAAGAGGAGGAGGATAGAGGAGGAGGAGGATGGAGGAGGAAGAAGAGGAGGAGGATAGAAGAGGAGGAGGAGGAGGAGGAGGAAGAAGAGGAGGAGGATAGAAGAGGAGGAGGATAGAGGAGGAGGAGGATGGAGGAGGAAGAAGAGGAGGAGGATAGAAGAGGAGGAGGAGTAGGATAGAAGAGGAGGAGGAAGAAGAGGAGGAGGATAGAAGAGGAGGTGGAGTAGAGAGGAGGAAGAAGAGGAGGAGGATAGAGGAGGAGGAGGATAGAGGAGGAGGTGGAGTAGAGAGGAGGAAGAAGAGGAGGAGGATAGAGGAGGATGGAGGAGGAGTAGAGAGGAGGAAGAAGAGGAGGAGGAGGAAGAAGAGGAGGAGGATAGAGGAGGATGGAGGAGGAGTAGAGAGGAGGAAGAAGAGGAGGAGGAAGAAGAGGAGGAGGATAGAGGAGGAGGAGGATGGAGGAGGAGGAAGAGAGAGGAGGAGGAGGAGGATAGAAGAGGAGGAAGAGAGAGGAGGAGGAGGATAGAAGAGGAGGAAGAGAGAGGAGGATGGAGGAGGAAGAGGATAGTGGAGGAGGAGGAAGAAGAGGAGGAAGAGGATAGTGGAGGAGGTGGAGTAGAGAGGAGGAAGAAGAGGAGGAGGACAGTGGAGGAGGTGGAGTAGAGAGGAGGAAGAAGAGGAGGAGGAGGAGGAGGAGGAGAATAGAGGAGGAGTAGGAGAAAGGAGGAAGAAGAGGAGGAGGAGGAGAAAGGAGGAAGAAGAGGAGAAAGGAGGAAGAAGAGGAGGAGGAGGAGAAAGGAGGAAGAAGAGGAGGAGGAGGAGGATGGAGGAGGAGGAGCAGTAGAGAGGAGAGAGGAGGAGGAGGAGGAGGAAGAAGAGGAGGAGGAGGATGGAGGAGGAGGAGCAGTAGAGAGGAGAGAGGAGGAGGAGGATAGAGGAGGAGGAGGAGAATAGAAGAGGAGAATAGAAGAGGAGGAGGAGGCGGTGACTCAGGTGTCTGCAGTCTCCGACACCGTTTCTATACGTTGATGTTTTTACCTCCAGGTTGTTGAGCATCACCAGCTGAGACTCTGACAGGATGCAGAACATCTTACTCCAGACGTCAGGCTCCGCCTTCTGACCACACGACAGCCAATGGATGGAGGCGCTCTTCAACTCTGTGACATCATCACAACATCATTATTGCCCACTTTTCATCAATGAAATGGAGGACACGCCTCCTCCCCAAGCAGCACCATGTTAGCAGGTATCATCAGTAACCAGAGCCGCTCAGCTGTCAGGACGCTCTGCGCTCCACAGGACAACAAGCCGGGTCCGGTTCACCTGTTTGCTCTCAGGTGGGAGTGGGCGGGGTTCAGACACAATGGTGGTTAAGACCAGGTGTGCACCAATCAGGATTCAGCAGCATGTGAATCACAATCTTTCAACTCAAATCTCAAAGACCCCAAACATACTAATCTAGCATTTTACTAATATAACCAAAAACTATAAAAATCTTTCTCTTTAAACAAACTTATCTTCAGGCTCCCCTGAGTGTAAATATACATATATTTATAAATTGAACACAATAAAAAAAACCCAGTAAGATCAAACAGTAAGATCAACTCAGGTCAGAATGGCTTTGATCAAATAACTTCAAACATTGTGATGAAACAGAGGAAATTTTAGTTCAGTGAGATGAGCAGCAGCCAGAAGAAATGTTGAGAAAAAAAACAGCTGAGCACCTTCTATAATGCTGCCTGTCCTCCTCACTTGATAACCTTGCTTGTGTCCTTTACCCACAATGCACCCCTGAGCTACGATGCTTAAAAGTCACAGCAACTTGAACGTTGCTATCAAAGACCTGGTCTAGAAATCCATTTACAAGCATATAGAGATCTTCTGTTGAAGTACGCCCTAAAACCATCCTTTCATTCTGTCAACAACAACCCTGGAAAAAAGTCTGTCTTGGATGAAAACATCAGCTGGACCAACCTACACCACCTGCCTCTCTGACTTCATACTGGCCACTGAAGACTATTACTGAACCCACAACCATCCTCCTGTCAACTCCACCCCCTGCCCACCAGTCTAGTTAAAGAATGCCCTTCCTCCATCTCACCTGCATAATTAACTCCTCACTCACCACTCGTACTGTACCAACTCTCTGGCCACTCGACTACAAAACCAGCTCAGTGTTTGTGTCACAGGTGTTGCACTTTCCTGGTTCTCCTCCTACCTCACCAACCGACAACAGTTTGTTCAGGGTGTCCGACAGGAATCATTGCTAGGTCCACCCATCTTGGGGGGGGGGGGGGGGATCATGCAACACCACAACATCAACTTCCACTGTTATGCTGATGACACCCAGCTCTACTTCTCTACCAAACCCACCACCTCCCTACCTCCCACCTCCATCATCAACTGCCTCCAAGACATTAGGGGCTGGACGGACATGAACCTCCTCCAACTTAACAGCAACAAGATGGAGATCATCATCAGCTCCACCCTCTCCAAACAGCAAAACCTCATTATCAATGTTGATGGTGTACCGTTCACTCACACCTTGGATAACACCCTGTCTTTGAATCACACATAAAATCCATCACGGACTGCCCTTTCCACCTCCACTACCTGGAACCTATCCCCCTCTCTGACCTCCTCCGGTCTCCTTGTCACCTCTCCACCATGGGCCCGGAGCCTTTAACTGCGGGGCCCCCAGGCTGTGGAACACCCTCCCCCCTCACATTCAACAGGCAGACTCAGTTACATGGTTCACAAAACTCCTCAAACAAATCTTTTCTGTGAAGTCTTTAGACTTTTTATTCTTGACTTGTGTCAATGTTTTGTACTTGTCCTTTGAATTATGCACATCATTTAATTGCACCTTTTTATTACCTTGTATGTAAAAAAAAGCCGTCCCCCAAATTATTATTTTTATTACTTGTGAATATTAGTTCCCTGTAAATTTACCACTTTTCTCTGGAAAAGTTATTTCTCAGATTTTTTCCCTTCTCCCCTGGACCCATATTTTATATTATGATGTTATTTTAAAATATACAACTGTAACTTTACAGCTTAATCATATTACACATAACAGAAGTCCATAAACACTAAATAGAGAATAAAACCAAGAACTCCTCACCTCATTTCACCTCCAGCTCTCTCTGTAGCTCAGACAATCCCTGCTACCTACGTGTGCTGATCCATTCTTTCACCCAGATTCTTTGTCTTTATAATTGCTATCTTTATAATAACAAACAGCTGTTTTGTCTGTAGGTTCGTGTCATTTCCCGTTTCACATTTCACGTGTTATCTTGACAAAACGTGGTTTGGAGACCAGTGTCAGGTGAGTCCTTGTCAGCTTGCGTAGTGTGTGATCCCGTCACCGATCATTCACATAGTGTGAACGCCACAATGACCTCAAGACTCCCGTCACAAGACTGCAAGTTGTGTGGTGTGAATCGGCCGACGCTGACAATCGTGTAGTCTGCACAAGGCTTTACTCTCCTGAAGATCCCGGCACTATCATCAGGCAACTCTGAGGACACTCCCCCTTTATGTGAACACGCTGCAACTCCAGTTAAGTTACCACCTGACTCAACTAGCCCACATCTTATTCACCGCCATAGGTTAACAGCAGTGCAGCAGTCAGTCTGTCAACCCTGACTCTGATAACCAGCAATAAAGCTGAGCAGGTGAAAGTGCCGTTGTAGTGCATGTCTCAGGTAAACAGCGGGCAAAATGCGGGCACACTGCGGGTAAACTGCAGGGAAAATGCGGGTAAACAGCGAGTAAACTGCGGGCAAAATGCGGGTAAACAGCGGGTAAAAATCAGGCAAACAGCGGGTAAACAGCAGGTAAACAGCGGGTAAACAGCAGGTAAACATCAGTTAAACAGCAGGTAAACATCAGGTAAACAGTGGGTAAACATCAGGTAAACATCAGGTAAACAGCAGGTAAACAGCGGGTAAACAGCGGGTAAACAGCGGGTAAACAGCAGGTAAACATCAGGCAAACAGCGGGTAAGCTGCAGGTAAACAGCGGGTAAACAGCGGGTAAACAGCGGGTAAACAGCAGGTAAACATCAGGCAAACAGCAGGTAAACATCAGGTAAACATCAGATAAACAGCGGGTAAACATCAGGTAAACATCAGGTAAACAGCGGGTAAACTGCAGGTAAACAGCGGGTAAACAGCGGGTAAACATCAGGCAAACAGCGGGTAAACATCAGGTAAACATCAGCTAAACAGCAGGTAAACAGCAGGTAAACAGCGGGTAAACTGTGGGTAAACAGGAGCTAAACAGCAGGTAAACATCATCAGGAAAACAGCGGGTAAACTGTGGGTAAACAGCGGGTAAACTGTGGGTAAACATCAGGTAAACTGTGGGTAAACAGCGGGTAAACAGCAGGTAAACAGCGGGTAAACAGCAGGTAAACATCAGGTAAACAGCGGGTAAACAGCGGGTAAACTGTGGGTAAACATCAGGTAAACATCAGGTAAACAGCGGGTAAACATCAGGTAAAAAGCAGGTAAACATCATCAGGAAAACAGCGGGTAAACTGTGGGTAAACATCAGGTAAACATCAGGTAAACAGCGGGTAAACAGCAGGTAAACAGCGGGTAAACATCAGTTAAACAGCAGGTAAACATCAGTTAAACAGCAGGTAAACAGCGGGTAAACAGCAGGTAAACAGCGGGTAAACATCAGTTAAACAGCAGGTAAACATCAGTTAAACAGCAGCTAAACATCAGGTAAACAGCAGTTAAACAGCGGGTAAACAGCAGGTAAACATCAGTTAAACAGCAGGTAAACATCAGGTAAACAGCAGTTAAACAGCAGGTAAACATCAGGTAAACAGCAGGTAAACAGCAGGTAAACAGCAGGTAAACATCAGGTAAACAGCAGGTAAATAACAGGTAAACTGTAGGTAAAAAGCAGGTAAACATTAGGTAAACTGCGGGTAAACAGCAGGTAAACAGCGGATAAACTGCGGGTAAACAGCAGGTAAACATCAGGTAAACTGCAGGTAAACAGCGGGTAAACTGCAGGTAAACAGCGGGTAAACTGCAGGTAAACAGCGGGTAAACTGCAGGTAAACAGCGGGTAAACATCAGGTAAACAGCAGGTAAACATCAGGTAAACATCAGGTAAACAGCGGGTAAACAGCGGGTAAACATCAGGTAAACATCAGGTAAACAGCGGGTAAACATCAGGTAAACAGCAGGTAAACATCAGGTAAACAGCGGGTAAACATCAGGTAAACAGCAGGTAAACATCAGGTAAACAGCAGGTAAACATCAGATAAACAGCGGGTAAACATCAGGTAAACATCAGATAAACAGCAGGTAAACATCAGATAAACAGCAGGTAAACAGCGGGTAAATATCAGGTAAACATCAGGTAAACAGCGGGTAAACATCAAGTAAACAGCGGGTAAACAGCAGGTAAACATCAGGTAAACAGCAGGTAAACAGCGGGTAAATATCAGGTAAACATCAGGTAAACAGCGGGTAAACATCAAGTAAACAGCGGGTAAACAGCAGGTAAACATCAGGTAAACATCAGGTAAACAGCAGGTAAACAGCGGGTAAACATCAGGTAAACAGCAGGTAAACATCAGGTAAACAGCAGGTAAACAGCAGGTAAACAGCGGGTAAACAGCAGGTAAACAGCGGGTAAACATCAGGTAAACAGCAGGTAAACATCAGATAAACAGCAGGTAAACAGCGGGTAAACAGCGGGTAAATATCAGGTAAACATCAGGTAAACAGCGGGTAAACAGCAGGTAAACATCAGGTAAACAGTGGGTAAACATCAGGTAAACATCAGGTAAACAGTGGGTAAACATCAGGTAAACAGTGGGTAAACATCAGGTAAACAGCGGGTAACCATCAGGTAAACAGCGGGTAAACTGCAGGTAAACATCAGGTAAACATCAGGGAAACAGCGGGTAAACTGCAGGTAAACAGCAGGTAAACAGCGGGTAAACATCAGGTAAACAGCGGGTAAACATCAGGTAAACAGCGGGTAAACATCAGGTAAACAGCAGGTAAACATCAGGTAAACTGCGGGTAAACATCAGCTAAACAGCGGGTAAACATCAGGTAAACAGCAGGTAAACATCAGGTAAACAGCAGGTAAACATCAGGTAAACAGCGGGTAAACATCAGGTAAACAGCAGGT